ATTATGGAAAAACTTAACAACAAAAGAAGTGTATATTTGGAATATAGATACATGTTTTCAAAATGAGCACAAGAACATGCTGACACTTCTCCGGTTATTTTGAATAATAGTAACAAGAAGTGTTTTGGTTTGCTGTCACTGCTCAATTTTCAAATAAATTAAGGCATATGGGTTTCATTAATTTGTTTTCGGTACTACTGCAAAGGTTTCATCTTTATTAAAGCAAGCAATAAAAATACTTATGTAGGACTCAGAAAGGAGATGGAGTCTCATCTGTGAGCCATATTGCTAAAAAAGTGAAAATAGCTTATTTTGCATCCTTACAAAAAAAAAAAAAAATCTCAACAACAAAGTAGTAAAATTCTTATGCAAGACTCAATAGGAAAAAGCCTCATCTGCAAGCCATGTTTTTAAGATAGTTGACAGCCTTTATTTAGAACCTCCTTTAATATTTTCCTCAAGTTGTCTCAAATCCAACAAAATGCTGCCTTTGTAATCTGTTTTCACTTTGTAACTAAGAATCTAATGTGAACAAGAAAAGGTGCACATGATAACCGTTTCTATTTCAGTATTTTGTCAATGATGGAGCCTTAAAATGAAGCTTGTGTTATATTTACTGTCTACATATTTAAGAAGCTAAACCTAAAGCAGTATTTGATGTTAAAAAATCATTAATTCTGTTATCATAGTAAAATACAAAAGTAGGAATGGCTGTCAGTTGCTTTTACATCCCAGCTTGAAATTGTATAGTATAAGCTTCTTCCCCACATTCTTCTCTCAATTTTCTTTTTAAAAACTCAACATACTATTTTACACTTGCAATCTAGGAAAAACAACAAAAAACCACCAGCTTTCCAATATAAAGGTTGTTAAGTTTGCTTAGTTAAAATATCTAAGAAGGGGGAAAGAACAGATATTAGTAGACTAGCAGTTCTATTAAACATGAGATTTTGGCATCAACATGATTGGAAGCAATGAACAAGTGAAAACATGAAGCACTATAAAGATTAAAAATGGGACAGAACTGATACCTCCTTTTTTATGACACTGGCCCCCAGCGTAAGAGGTGGATGTTGGTGGTATGGCAGCAAAGGTTGAACCTTCCCACCAATATTAATTACATGTTGTTGCCATGTGACAGATGGCAGCAGAGGAGCAACGGGACAAAATGGCATCTGGCACGGAAGAACAGATGAAGCAAAGGTGTGGAAACGAACTCCTCCTTGTGGAAAAACTGCACCAACTGATATTCGTAAACACTTGCTGAATGTTTATGGAGACCAAACAGTGGGTGCTGACTCAGTGAGGTGGTGGGTGGTGCATTTCAGCAGTGCTGACAGTGATGTGAAAGACAAGCCACGTTCCACATGGTCATTCTTTTTGTCATACTACAGAATGAAGAGTGTCGGCACAAACTGGCAGATTACAACTAAGGATCTGTATATGGAGCTAAAGATTGGTCACAATTCATTGGAAATGATGGTGGCAATGCTAAAATATCACAAAGTTTTCATCAAATAGTGTGCTCAGAAAGAACACTATTTGCAAGTCTGTAAGGATCTACTGAACCAATATAAGGCTGAAAGTGACACGTTATTATCACATTATTACCTTGTATGAGATGTGGTGCCATCACAAGCCAGAGTCAAAACAGCAGTCTATGGAGCGGTGACATGAATTTACCATTAAAGTTCAAGATGCAGACCTCAGAGAATAAAGTGGATGTGCACTGCCCTTTGTGATAGGAAAGGGGTGATTCTTATGTTTCCTGCAGCCTGGATAAACCATCAACACAGATTAATACGCCTTGATGCTGATTAAGCTGAAGGCTCAAGCTTCCAGAATCAGGCAGGGGAAGACTTAATTTCTCTTGCAAAATGAAAATACCAGGTCTCATATCAGTTTGACGACCATGGAGTACATTATCAATCTGGACTGGCTTTCCATGCCCACTATGTAGTCTGTATTTGGTGCCTTCTGAATTCCATCTGTTTAGGCCAATGAAAAACGGACTGCATGGACAACATTCTTCTAGCAATGATGCTGTCATTGCTAGATGCTGTGAAATGGTGGGTCAGCTCCACTGGTACAAATTTTTATGAGCCAATGTCATGGTTTTGTGATTTTTGGCTTTCGGTATTCCACATCATAACATCATGTGGGGCACTGGGACTTTAACTCTCAATGCTCAAGTCCTGGGTACCTGCCCTGAAGAGAAGAACAACTACATTCCCCAGGGGACCTTGCGGTCAGGGAGAGGAGGTTTAACTCCTGCAAGATCACCTGATGTTCTCTTTCTCACCTGCCCTTCGTCGTGGGCGCTGCTCCCGTCTCCCTGCTGCTCAACTGCACTGCGCATCTCACCTCAGCGTTGTGGTGAGGCCTATCCACCCTTTCGGACATTCTCTCTCTCATTATATTTGATTTATTAGCTTCAGTTCTGATTATATTGTATTATAGTGTGTTATCTTGCATTCCGATAATATACTTAGTAAATTAGTTTGTTTCTCCTCAGATCGGTGCCGCTGTTTTAATTATTTTGGGGTCCCCTGTTTCCTTTTTTTCCCGGAGGCGCGGATCTGCAGATCCCTCCGCCCCGCTCGTCACGGAACCGGGCCGAACCAGCCCGTAAACCGTTGACAGCCAAGCATGCAGGCTCCTCTTCAGAGCTGGTGACAGCATAGCTAATGTTGGTGACTATGTTGAAATACAGCATTTTGTAGCTGAGAACTTGCTCTATCAAATAAACTAAATGAAAATACATTATCATGTTATGTGAAGAGTTCTTTATGAAGTCACTGCTCAATAACTCAGTAACATTGATCACTAACTTAAGAAAAGGTTTCTGAGTGTGACATTTTACCAGTATTAACTCTGCTGTGTCAGGGAATTTGAATGATTTATGTGAAAGCTGTCTTGTTTCTCCTCCATGATGAATCAGGAATATTTCTATGCCAAGTCTGTAAAGGTCTCTTAGTCTAAAACCCAACAATGCTAAAAAAATATGTGAACAAATAGTGCCTTTCAGAACTGTGATTCATAAGAAAAAGAACAGGCACTTTTATTTAAGAAACAAATACACTGTATAGTCAGAAAGCATCTATTTGTTCATTTTAAAAGATAAAAAAAAAAAAAACTAACAAAAACAACCAGGAAGAGCAATTTTTACTATTAAAATTTTATGAATATAATATTGGTGCACTTTTTTTTTTTTTCTTTAAACAAAAAGGACTACTGATTTAACAGCTATTTGCCCAGGAAGTTGGAGTTTTTCCTCCTCCTCTGCTGCTCACTCCTCCTATTCAAACAATTTCAAAGCAAACTTTATTTACCACTCTCCAAATTACAAATCTGTCCTCTCTCAACAATCAGACTTACAGTCAACACTTACAGGTCCTGCAGTTATAAAACTCAAGTAGCATCAGTGTCAGCAGTTGTCACTACTGACAACCAAGGTGTTTCTTTAATTCCACACAGCTCATTCTCTGCTTGGCCAAATGACAGCCTCATTATTAGAGGGTTGTTTTTGTTTTGTTATTTTTTCCAAAGAAGTATGTAACAGCATGAATACCAGAATCAGCCACTTATCTCCAGATACCTCGTTATTCTAGATTCCATCTTCACAGAAACAGGTAGCCCAGGAAGGCTGCTAAGGGCATTCCATGTCTGTTTCCTTCCAGAGACATTTCTACACCCAGTGTATACACAAACTAGAAGACATGGAGGTGTTTTTTTTAACTGACACTGTAAGTTACCTAGAATTAGGCGGGGTAAACCAAGTCCAACCACTGTTGTTAACTGCAGGGAGCACAGAGAAAAAAGTAGACTGAAAGAAACCTTCTACCAACTTATAAAACTACTTGAACTAATGTGACCAATACAGACTTAAGTGCTAGCAGGCACTAGGATGTCTGCGTGAGCCAGTCATGAAAGTAAAAGCACCATGTGGACAACACTTATGTTGTTTGACTGCTGTTTTACAGAGCAACAGCGACAGTGACCTATTGTGGACAACCTACTTTAGCAGGGTGGTTGGACTCAAAGGTCTCTTGAGGTTCCTTCCAATCCCTGCAATTATCTGATGAACATTTCCTTTTCCCCTTTACTGAACTGTAGAAGCTCAGTTGTTTTACAAATAATATGCTAAAAATCCATGAGATGCCATCTGATGAATCTGGCAAAAAGCATGTCATGAAAATGGATTAACAAAGCCTTTCTATTAAGCACCTTCTTTTGAAGACTATGCTTAATTGGTAGATAAATAAACAAACAGATAAAGGTCACTCAACCACTGTAGTTATCGAGGAAAAAAACAGTCATTTAACGTCAAAGTAGTTCTCTCATACAATAGGGAATGCTTGCGCTGAAATCTGGAGTCTGCACCCATTCCAAAACACACAGTTGTAACATTGTCTACTAAAATCAAGATACAAGTAGAGAACACTATGAAGTTATAAAATCTCTGAAGCATTTGCTCATACATCACAATGCAAAAAATACAAAAACTGTATCAATTGACAGCAGAAGAGAAAAAACTGAATCCCATGCTACCTGCCTCCTGAAGGTAAAGTTTCAAAAACTACAACAGAACTTTAAAGCTGAAAGAAATATTCCAGTAGTATGTCATTTAAAGCTGAGAACTGATTTTGACAATACCATAATCAGTTATACAAAGCATTTCTTACCCTCTTAATTGGCACAAAGAAATTAATTCCTGCACTTAAACTGTCAAAGTACAAACTTCGAGCGCCATTCAGACCAGATAAATTCAAGTTTAGTTTGGCAAGTTTAAGACTCAAACTGTTTAGCACCTTGACAGATGCAGCAAGCAAAGATGGAAATATGGAAACACTCTTGATTTTCCAGATGTGTTATGGTAACAGCAAAGCTGACCTAGAAGATATTTCAGGGAGGATTCAGTAATGCAGTCCTAAAAACCAAAGCTTTTTATTGCTAAGCTTAACTCTATTTAATATGTAAATACACAAATATGGTAATACCTTCATAGCGTGGATTTCTTCTATTAATCTCTCAGCTCGTTTTTGGTTCTTTAGCTTCAAGTCCTCTGAACCCCTGTAAATGAAGTCCTTATTAAAAAAAAACCGTGAGTTTTGTTCACTTTCTTATTAGAGAATGGTCATACTAAGTATCTATCAAGCGATCATAAGAATGAGCACAATCACATCCCCTTGATGTGATGAACACTGTGGTGAAGAGTGGTTCAGTAGTACAGTGTTTCTCCTGTTTTGAACAGAAAAAAACCAACACTGAAGATTTAGCAAAATAATCAAAAAGACAAGCACTACTTGATTAGAAGGGAATGACGACAATTCCTATCACTAACACATAGGAGAAACTGCTACTTCAAATACAACTGCATCTAAGATCTGCAACATTTAAATATGAATGTTTAATAGGCCCATATAATTTGCTAAGTTTATGAAAGAATAGTACATTCAATTTACACTTCAAACACTGTAACAGACTCTTTTTTTTTAATCTCCAGTGAGATAATAGAAGCCACTTTGGGCCCGTTGTCTTTGGAAGTACAATCTTGAAAATGTTGCTTTAAGAATATTAACCCTAATTATTAAAAAAGCATAATTTGTATAAATATACACACTAAATAATATTTTTTGTTATACAAATTTGCAGAGAACTGCAGTGAGAAAATAATGGACAATTTGTGATCAAGACCAGAAGAGCATAAAAGATCAAGTCTGATGGCTTTGGAGGTGCTGCAAAAGGTCCTTTGAGTTGGTTAACTTCCAAATACTAAATCCTTTTAAAACATGTTAGCTCTGTTCTACTTCATGAAACTACTTCACAGTTAGTATTTTGGATCTATCTAAAATAAAGTAAAAATACAAATAATAGAATAAATGTATCAGTGTGCCTTAAGTTTTCAATGTAATGCATGTTTACCTCTTGCCCCTGTTACTAAGAAGACAATCCAGTTACTGTCTCATTTATTAAAACACAAACAAGAACAACAATGTTTAAAACTGACTTTTTCAACTTCAGTTTCCCGATGTGTCTGGTCAGTCTGCGAATGGTCAGGACTCTGGCTTTCTTCACATCTTTTCTCATCTTCACAACCTGTCAGAAAGAAGGAAGACAGTATGAAGCTCCTCTCTCTTGATGAACTTCCATATAAAACACATCTGTTACATTAAGTTACATTTTAGAATCAACAAAAGCCATTCTTGAAAACGGAATGCATTCTTCTGCTACCCAAATTCCAGTTGAAACAAATTCAGATTTCATTTAAAATCAAGCTGCTTTCACAAACATCTGAGGAAGAACAATCAACAGTCTAAAACTGCCTAAACAGGAGACAAGGCATTCCTAACTAGCCATATTTTAATATTATCCTTAGAGCCAGACTGAGCTACAGATTTGTAAAGACTCATCTTTTGCCTTCAGTTTGTTTGTTTTTGTCCCGGTAAAAGGGTACTTTTCCATTAGTGCATCTTATTTTCATTGTGAAACGTTTTAAAAGATCTAAGGAAAGATTCTCAAACTAAACACTATTTATTATTATGAAAAAAAAACCCAACAAGATATGCAAATCTTTTTATGTATCAGATTTTTGTTAAATATAAATACATAAAGAGATATTCAAATAGATCTTCAAAATCTCTATGCAGATACTCAATGCGCTACACTCAATTTCAACTTCCTACTCTACACAGTTCCCTCTACCTCCCAGAATGTATTTTAACATTAAAGAAAACCTGACAGGGATGTTCTGGTCTTACTTCTCTCCCAAAAGTAAGAGGAAAGTAATTACAATTGTTAGTAAAAAGGTGGTACTAACAGAAAAATCCTTGGAATCTTTTGGTTTAAAATTCCATCATGGGAAACCTTAAGACAAAACACAGTCTTCACAATGAAGCACATTTCAGAGAGACAGATTCAACAACTACTTACAGTATTGCTAAATTAACTCTCAAATATTATCTATTAAAATACATTAGGATTTCATATTTAAATTTACAAAATATGAAATATTTAAACAAAAACATTATTGTTCCTGCCAAAAAGTCAAATTTATCTTAAGTTCATGCAATGTGGGTAAGAAGCTGGCACCTCTTTCTCAAGTAAGTTCTTGACCTCAAATTTCTACACTGGCTTATAATTTCTTAGAAACAACATGCAAATGACTGCATCTTGCCCAAATATTTGAGCTATCATCCAACCAGTTCTCCCAGGGAATATTACCATTAGAAACCAAAATCAAGTTCAACCACAAAACAAAGCAACAAAAAAAATCTTCAAAGCTCATTGAGGAACATTTCACATGACACTATGATGGAAAATCTGAGACCAAAAATGCAAGAAGTCATTACTTGTTTGAAAAAATGACATATTTTGCACACACCTTATTACATTTGTAGCTAGGTTACTTGTATAAGTAAGCATTTAAGCTTCATATTGTGCTTAGTAGCAATTCTACTAATTCTAAGGACTAATCTGTTGAAATAATTTCTAGGAACAGGACCCTTAAATTAAAGGTCCCTCCTCTTGTCACACTGAAGGAAAAAAAGCAATGCTTCTGCTGAAAGTAGGAGGGCAACTGTCATGTGGTAGTTATTTGAAATTGCACAGAGAGAAAAGGGAAAATATGTTGTTTGGTAATAGGCAAGATAACATCAAAAAGGGCAAACTGGGCCAAACTTGTGGTCTTCTAATACAGTGACAGCATTGGAGGACAAGGCGAGATAACTGATGCCATTTACCTTCACTTGTGCAAAGCCTGTTGTATGGTCCCCCACAAGACAATGACACTGACCGTAGGATTAGCATATTGGCTGAGTTTGGTCAATGGCTCTAGGAGTCCAGGTGGAGGCTGGTGATGAGCAGTGTCCCTGAGGGAACTGCCTTGGGACTGCTGCTGTTCAATATCTTTATCAGTGACACACACAGTAGGATTGAGTGCACCCTCAGTGAGTTTGTGGATGAATCAAGCTGAGTGGTCCATTCCATACAACAGAAGGAAAGGTGGTTGAGAAGCTAGAAATGCGCAGGTAGTGAATACTTGAAGCCTGGAAGGACAACCATATCCTCTGCTGCATTTAAAAAGTGTGGCCAACTGGTCAGAGGAGGTAATTCCCTCTTGTGAGGCTCTATCTGCAGTATTCCACCCAGGGGCCCTCACCGTAACAGAAAGTCCTCCTATTAGAGGAGGGCCATAAAAACATGAACTGGAAACTCCTGCTGCTAAAAGGTACTGAAAGAGTTGGAGTCATTTAGCCTTGAGAAGAGATAGCTCCAGTGGAGACATGACTGTAGTGTTTCAATACCTAAAGGAAAAACTGAAGAAAGATGGGGATGAGCCTTACTGCTAGGGCGAGCAGTGAAAGGACGAGTGGTCATGGTTTTAAACTATTAAGAAGGAATATTTACATTAGATGTTAGGAGGAAACTCTTAAGTTAGTGAGCGGTGAGTCACAGGAACTCTGCCAAATCTATGCTTGATAGCTGCACTTTGTAAGTCTCCATGCACTGACAAAGAAATGCTTAACATTTGCCATCTTAGGGTGTAACCAATTTTTTAACATTTGATATTGAGGGGAATTATCTTTTTAAATAGTTCCCTGTAATAAAACTTCCTATAAATAGAGGAAAGAAAATAAAGCGCATTCTAGTTGAATACCTCTTCTATTCTACATATGTTCAAAAACATGTAAACTGGGTACACCATTTCAGAATGAAGGTGGTTGCTTTTTGTTTGCTTTTTGATGTATCTCCAAGCTACAAACTCATTTGAATTCGAAGAATTCATACAGTGACTTAACATGGTAGTTTCTGCATACCCAAATACTAAGTATATTTAACTTTCTCTCCAAAATGTTTTGTAATGTATTTTTATAGAAATCTTAATGCAGACACAGCATGTTTCTGGGGCACAAATGAGCCAAGACCCAACCTCTCCAGCTGCCAGCCAATAAAATCTCTGTAGACATATGACAGCAGGAATGAGGGAAGGTATTCACTCCTTGGCAGGCTAGGCACATCAATTTATGTAATCCACAGTCACTTCTTTCACACGGGACAGTATGCATCAACTCTGTTCTTGGAAGTACTCATGAAGTTCTCAAGAAAGCAGTCAGTTATTTGGAAGAGAAACGAAAAAGGCTTTGCTTCAGATATACAGTGTGCCTGAAACAACGGGCCTTAAACTACCATTGTGGCTACCAGGACTCAATGAACTGTCAGCTTCTTGCATCAAAAAGCGAGGCAGGCAAACAACTAAACAATGAAAAAGAAAATAAAAAGTCAAAGAACCTCCTACGATCCTCAAACAGAAACAGGTAAACAAAAAAAAAAAAACGCCACAACTGTGGTGGCTTTTAAAAAATTGTAATAAACATTTACTCATAAAAAATAATGGTTTTTTTTTGTAAATAAATAATAAAAGACAACAAAAAAGGATGAGTCTTGGCATTGAAACTTGCAACAGCTAAGCTATCAGACAGGGTCAGACTTACCAATGCTTTAGGGCACACAGACAAGAATTTGTAATATACTTAAAGGCAACAGTAAGCTCAAAAGAATAATTATAGCCTCAGGCAAATCTCAAAGCAGACCTATCAATAGCAATACATTCCAGGATTCCTAGAAATTCAGGAAGCATGCTGTTGTAAAAGGAGGTAACCACTTCAAGGATTCTTTGCAATAAAGTACATGGGATGCCTTTTGTTTTGGAAGACACTTGGTTTTGCAGAAAAACATTACCTAAGAAGCAACTGCACTCTAATTATTAAATAGTAAGAAGTACTGGTCATAGTTACCAAGAAATATTCCACAACTGTATTATAGATAATTTACAAATTTTTAGATCTATAAGAAATAATAGTGGAAACTAATTCACTTTCAAAAACAAGCCAATATAGTGAAGCACACTAGCCAGAAAGAATACAAGAATGTTTCAGAAGTAAAAACCTTAGCTTAGGAACCACACCAAAAATTACATCCATTCTATGCTATGCCTTTCTTAGATGCTATAAGGGGAATTTCTATTACTAAATCCTAAACAAAGATGAAATGCAAAAAAAAAAAATACCATGTGTGTAGCTGTTTCACAGAATAGACTTCCACTGCCCCAAAAGTTTGCAATATAAAGCAAGTGTTCACCAAAACAGGATGTATGTAGGTTGCTCTGAAAGTAATGCCTTCTATTTATTTCCATGGAAACTACAACAGACACAAGGAGTACAATGACACACATAATGAAGGCATTACCTCTGGTGCAGCCCTTGTACACCTGCCAGGTTCATATAAGCATTTTCCTGCCATACGATGAAACCAGTTTCTTCTCTTTAAAGAGATTAAGGGAGATAGGATCATCAGGAAATTACTAGCCTGACAAGAACTGTGTAATCTTAGAATCATAAAATATCTTGAGTTGGAATAGATGTTGAAGATATTCAGTTCCAACTCCCCCTGCCATGCAGGGTTGCCACCCACAAGGTCAGGCTTCCCAGGGCTCATCCAACCTGTTCTTCAACACCTCTAGGTATGGGGTACCCACAGCTCCAGACAGCCTGTGCCAGTGACTCCCCACTCAAAATCCTCTCCTATCATTTTACCTTTGCCAAATTAGTGCAATTTACTGTGGTGGATTATAACATGAATTGTTCTTTTCAGTATAACATAGATTAAAAGGATACTTGGCCACGAGGCAGGAGCTCCCAGTACTTGTAATGACAATTACTGGGAAGAGCATGGATTCTTGTGGAGGCTGTGTTAAAGAATCTGGAAAGCAGAGATGTGATTCAAGACAGCCAGTATGGCTTCACCGAGGGCAGACTGTGCCTGACCAATCGGGTGGGTTTCTACAATGGAGCAACAGCATTGGTAGACAAAGGGAAAGTAACATCTACCTTGACTTACACAACTACCTGATGGAGAAGAAACTGGCTGGATGGCCATATCCAGAGATCTGTGGTCAGTGGACCTATGGGCAGGTGGAAGCTAGTGACAATGGTGTCCATCTTGGGACCGGTGCTCTTCAGCATATTTACAATGATAGACAGTGGGATTGAGTGCACCCTCAGCAAGCCTGCTAACAACACTAAGCTGGCTGGTGCAAG